TATCTTATGACTTCAAAGAAACAGACTGAGTTTGGTACCCCAAATATTTTTTCAGTTCAATATCAACATGGAATCCTGATTTGTTTGATATGCATGCGTGCTTATAGATAAATAAATAAAAGGGATAATGTTGGATAGCTTGTGATTGGGTTCGGGGTTGGGTTTTACCCGAGTTTAATATGTTGGATAATAACGGTTTAAAAACATCTAGAGGGGGTGACTAGGTGTAATAGATCACAAGTCTCACTTTTCCGCTAAATGAGATATTCTGGAAAATCACGAGTTTAATCCATTATGTATGCTCTTAATCGATTAACTCTAGCTATGTTTAATCAATTAACATTAGGCTTAATCGATTAACTCGATTTTTGTTTTTTCGAAAAACAGTTTTCATTACAACGATTTCAATCAATTTCATATGCAATTTACATAAATGAATTTATGCCTAAATGCTAACATATTCAAGGCACACAATAAATTCATTAAGTAAAGCAATCTAATTATGTAAAGTGTAAATCAAGTGAAATTAAAGAGATAAATGATAGAGAAATTTGAGACAACGATCTTTTATCCTGTTCGTTTATGGGTCTACTTGAAAATTACATTTAGACCTCTCCTTCTGATCTTAGGAGATTTTTCTTCACTATTGGAAATCAAAGTTATACAAACACACTTCTAAAATATTAGACTTTCTTCTTGAACTCAGAGCTCTTGAATGGTTTGACCCTCTTGCCCGCTTCTAATGGATATTCAACACCACTTCTAACAGTTTGGCCTCAACCACTCCTAACTCCAAACCAAGACTCTTGTTTATGTGAAGACAACCAGTACCTAACCACAACTAGGATTTCCTAACACTATTCTCTAACAAGGTGATACCAACACACCTAGAAAATCTAAGATAGTCCTCTACAAAATTTAAAAGTTGTGTGCACCTTAACTATGCATTGAGGAACAACACTAAAACATCCCTAGATATCTCACCAAAACTCAAAAGAATGATGTGTGATTATGCAAGGTTTTTCAAAATTGTTTTGATAATGATGCACAAGGGATAATCTTCAATGAAACTATCATAAAAACTGTTGCTCAAAGAATATGACAATTAAAGTCAAAATGTATATGAATCTATTGAGCAATCTTATAAGTACATGTGGAAAAATCAACTTTTATACAAAATTGTTTTTGTTGGACTTAAGCGATTAAAGATGTCAAGATATCCAAGATTTCAATTACTGTAACTTCAATTAATCGATTAATCTCATTCTTAATCTTTTAACGGTTCCCTAATTTTTTTAATCGACTAACACAAGTTGTAATCAATTAAGTGTGTTGAAAAGCATTTCTTTGATGTTTGATGAACCTTCTGCATGATGTGTATATGATCCATGATTTTAAAATGTAAACCAAGTTTAATGCACCAAAATCATGTTATCATATGCAAATACATGAGCATGTTAATCATGTACAAATGCAAGTCCCATTTTAAGATGATTCAATTTTAAGTTTGTGAGACTTTCATTCAAGGTTCACCTAACCTAGACTCTACCGAATCAATCATCTTAAGACTTCTAGAAATATAAAAATTTAATCTAAGTCTTTTTTGTTGAACTTGAGCCTTGACTTTGTTGAGTTGACATTCTCTTCAAGCTTGCCTATTATCCTTGTCTCCATCAAAACAATGTGATAATGAATACTTGTAATCTTACAATATTCGGATTTGGGTTAGGGTTTGTACTGCTAATATCCTACTCGAATCCGATGATTTATAAACATATCAGTTTGGAGCTTTTGTTAATTGAGGCAAAAGTGATAGGGTTATAAGTTCTCACATTGAAACAACCCATCTTTTACATTGAATTCCTTATATTGAGTGTCTCAAGCACCAGCTCCAGCACATTATATTGGGGCTGGATTTTTTTGAGACATGTGCATTTATTTGTTCATCTATTTTCCTTTCTCTAGTTACACTCATCTTCCATTAAATTCTTGTATTGTGCTCTTTTCAAGATTATATTGTCCTATTCGTTGGACAAAGATCACTTGCCTTATTCTCTGTCTCACTTTTGTCCTGCGCTAATTAAAATTTTACCTTTTGTTACTTTTTATTTTTATATTTTTTATTTTATTCATGTAGCAGCATTGTGATTAACTTGGTATATGAAGCGGGACAAGAAGTGGGACAGGTAATCCTTGTTCCTATTTGTTCATTATAAATGGTTGAGGTACACCCTAACGCCGGTATTTAATTTTTATAGATATGTCAAGTAGATTCAGATTCTCTTTATTTTTTTTAAGAATGTGAAGAAATATTAAATAAATCTTTATTATGAAGAAACCCATCATTGTCTGCAGTCATACATTTGACTCCATTAAAAAAAACTTAAATTCATGTCATCCCAAATGGACAATTTAGATTTTGAACTTTTCAATACAGTACCATTATCCATCATTGCTGAGTTCAGGACAATTTCATCACATCCAATTCCCTTAACCTAAAAAACCAGTTTATAATATATATATATAACATGTATAATAGCTAGTGTAATGTCACTGTAAAAATTTGTATATAGTATTATAACATTCACAATTCATTTGAACCATTTTTCTTGAAAAATTAAGAATAATAACATATAAATAATAAATAATATAATAATATTATATAAAATTATGCACTATGAATATATATTTTTTCCTCATAATTATATAATGTGTTTTATTGTCATTCGAAAGCAACATGACAAACAATTATTCAGTTTTATCCTTTTTTTTTATGAGAGAAATAGTTAAAAAATTATTATATGTTCAAAAATCAATGGTCAATCAATTAACAAGCAGTAGTATAGTGATTTAACTAAATCAGATTAAAACTTGGTTTTTAAAAGTAACACTTATTTGGGGCAGCAACTAGACAAATAGAGATCATTTCCCATGAGAAGATACCATTACTTATTCCAAAAAATATTCAATGGTTAACAATCATAGTTGAACTGAAGTTTCCAATCTGTTCCCGGATGGAGTTTAAGCTATTAAATTATTTTAATTATGCGTACATTAGTTTAGGCAGGGATACTTATAAAAACAAAAACAAAAATATCCTTGAGCTAGAATAGTGTCATTAACGAATTGTATTTCTACCCTCTCTCTGGGGTTTCTATAGAGATTACTCATAAAAATGCAAACATAATAGTGAGTCCGTGACTCATAAACCATTGCTACGAGTTGATCCAATATTATTTATTTCTCCTGGACAAGGAGATATTTGGTTAGCTTCTTTCCAGTTAGAGGTCTCAATAATGGGACCCTTATCTTGGTATTCTCTTCGACATTTCTGCATAACCAGTACGTTATAAGTTCCCAAAAACAAATATTACCACAGGAACAAAGTTCCTTGACCTTTGAACGATTCAAGGTGTTGAAGCACTCCACTGGTGAATAAAAACAAACATTACTCGGTAAATTTGCATGTTCCTTGCTTCCATCTCCAACTTCTAAAGCATATCTAGTATGAAACCTTAATATAGATAATAATTTATAACAAAATAAATCTACATTAAATTTGAGACTCAATTCGATCTTTAGAAAAATTAAGTATGACTAGTAAAAACATCTCAATTACAATCTTAATTTGTTTCAAAATAAGAATTAAAATCTCAATAAGTTAAACACTATAATTGATGAAGACATTGCAAGTTGGGTAGCTACTACATAGTGAATGAGTATATAGATGGTTTCCCAAACATGACATAAAAGCACATACAACATTCGAAAATCTACAATAGCTGGAAAAATTCACATTAAATATATAATATTCATACTAATTCTCACTCAAAAGTTCATCTAATTATGAAATCATACATTAATATCTAAAAACATTCAAGCAGTTAACCCACTCAAAAGTTCATCCAATTGCATATGTAATTCTCATTTGAATTGCTGATAGAAAATGTTAATATACAATGTTCCAAGGAGTGAAAGCAATACTTTTATTGTTTCTAGAAATTATCTGAAATAATACTCTTGATAAATAGTAAATAGCCATTAAATGTTGTTCATAGGAGTTAGCTATCAAACTTGCAGAATCAAATTATTTCTTTAAGTGATAAAGCTCTGCAACCAACTGAAACCAAAAAGTAATTTACTACAATAACCATTGAAAGAAAATGTTAATCAATCAATTTACCACTAGTTATAAGTAAAAGGAATCCAACGCCATTATATCTCAGCTTAAAAAATCATCCAACTTCTGCCACTAAATTCAATCGCAGCTTAACTAAATCCAAGCCAAAAATGTAGTCACTCAATACTTCATTCATACATCACGGGGCATTATAAGGGGGAATTTGCTCCAATTCCTACAATTTAGGTTAACCCTCAGAAAAAACAAGACCAACAAATGAACAAAATAGTAAATGAACGACACTTATTGAGCAAAAATGTAACAGTATATAAAAAAAGCAAAATCCAAGACGCTGAGAACGTCTGGGAATAAATTTCAGCAAAATAATTAGAGCATAGTCATAGATCTACAAAAGAAATTCCTCAGTCAATTACATACATATGAGACAAGAAACAAAAGTACATGAAGATTGAATTATTTACAAAAAATAGCTAAAACAACAACAATGCCTTAAAAAAATTAAAAGCCCTCAGATCTCATAGCTTAAAGGATCATATGTGGACAGTAACATTAGTTTCATTCACAGCCTTCTTGCACCATCAAATATAGAGAGAGTCACACACAAACACACACACACCCACATGCACACAGAGAGAGGAGGTAAGAAAGATAGAACGGTGCAGTTCCAGCTATGAACAAAACCAAGTCGCCACTCAACAGTATATTTGTGCATCATTGGGCAAAAGAGAATAAAGGAAAGTTTGAGAAATTTTCAATATTGAGGGGGAAAAATCTGATGAAAACAACTCATATAAACTGTGTATAACCGCTTCTTTGATCAGTTTCATTTATATATATTTCAAAAAAAAATGAAAATTGGAGGTCAGACATGGTTTTCTAGGCCACACATATGCATCAAAATGCAGTAGAAAACTGCTCAGAGCCCAGTGCAATTATCATCATTCACTAAAACTTTAAAAACAATCCGCAGACAAGTCCCAAATCAACAAATAAAAACAAAAAGTGGACATTACTGTCAAACCTTAAAAACTAGATGTTAAAATTATAAGTCAATAAATAAAAGGAACCAACAGCACTTAGATCTAATAGCTTAAAACAAATAAAACAAAATTGCAAAAATTGGAAGTGTAAAACCTCTGAAAATGTGAATCAATGGAGGATCATGTTAAAGGGGAAAGTATGTATTAGACAAATAAATAATTTGAAAAAATGGAGATCAAATCCTATTTAATGTGTATACATCACGAACAATAACAAGTACAACAACGAAGAAAAGGTAAAAAGAGAACCATGAAACAAATAATTGAAAACAAAATGAATAGATAAAAAACTAGAGCGAATGAAGAAAAATGAGAGATCTAAGGATTCTATTGATTCAACATTAGGGTTTTGACGGAAGCTATTGCGGTGCACTTCTTTATATATGACGGGAATCTCCTATTCGATAATTTTATGGGCCGGGCCCATGGGCTGAGAGACTTGGTAACTGTATTTTACTGTGTTGGAAACCCATGAACTCTTCCACGGTTACGAGTTTATCAGATAGGGAAACATAATATAATATCGGTTACTTTCTCGCAAATTATCTTCCGCACCAATAAAATTTAAACAAAAATAGAGATAAAAAAATATTTTTAATTTTTTAGTTAACCTGACATATTTTTATTGGTCCGATACATATTTTGATATATAATTTGGAACAACAGATCATTATCGGAATAAAACTTACATCACCTTTAATTTCTCTTTTTGTTGTTATCAACTTAGTATCTATTAAAGATATTTTGGAGATTATTCTAAAAGTTAGGTGGTCAGGAAGTTAATAGTTATTTTGTAAAGTTTGTATTAATTGTTTGGTTTACCAGCTTTTTTTTCTTCTTTTCTCTTGTATAAATAAGTCATATTGACTCACTTTTTCATCAATGAGAATATTATTCAATTCAACAGTGAGAAATGCATTCTTTCATATCTTTCTTGTTTCATCAAGAAGATTTTTCTCATTCATCCATGTCTCATACCAATTTTGGTAGTGTCTATATTTATCTCGAATAAAATGCAAGATCAAGCAACTGAAAATAAAGCAATAAAATAAATAAAAAATTGACAAGTTATCCCTAGTGAAAATATATTGAAAAGCTGCCTGATATATTCAACACTATATATTCTAAGACCATGAATACTCCTTGCGGAAGTCACTTAAATCTTCAAGAAGTAATTTTCATAGCTTGATCCATAATGTCATGTTTTTACCAGACTTTACATAAGAAACATAGTTGGAGGTGTCATCAGATTCCTGTGGAAAAGAATCTAATTGGATAGTTATTATTGGATTCTACGACATCTATAGGGTGGTAGTACTTACGGAATATATTTGTGTTTCAAAAGAAGCAATTTTATTACTTTACAAGATTTTTCTGATGCAAACTTAAAGAAGATTTTGATACTAGAAAGAGAACTATATGTTTTTGTTAGTATATAGGCCCTCGGTAATATTGTGAGTTGGAAATTGGCAAATTGGTCCATAATAAACTAAATGGTGTCGCAAAAAAGTATCTAATGAATTGTGGAATCTACAAGAGTGCTTCTTTTAACATTTTAACTAAAAAGCAATATTCTAATTATGTTGACTTTAAAAAGGGTTTTTGGTTGATTTGATTAACTAATTACTAAATAACTGGTTAACTATTTTGAATAAAGGTGTTGAGATCAAATTTCACACTCACTATTAATACACACGATTCAAATACACTAATTCAATTAGCAATTGTTCTTCCACAAAAATGATATCAAATCTACTAAATGCTAATGTCTTAGTCAAATTAGTAGCTTATACAATAAAATTTTGTGCCTAGTAACTTTACACACAAGATGAATAACTATGACTCACAAAATTATACTTTTATGTAGTCTATGAGTGTGATATTGAGTAAAATGCAACACCTCACTTTTATTAATCGTCAATGTCTTGGTATATGCTAATAGTTTATTGAGATAATTTTATGTCTAACAACTAAAATTTGAATATGATGTTATATGAACTGTTTAACATACATTTATGTCTACTAATTTATGTTAAAAAAAATTAGAGTTATAAAGTTTTTGAATTAACTCTATGTTTAGTAACTAATAAAACAACATGCATGAGATGACAATTTTAATGTAAGTCAATGTTTAACAAATATAACAAATGACGAGTTATACAAAGTGAGAATCATGCAATGATTTCTCGAAGCATTTCATTTACAAAGCATGCAATAAGATGGTCAAACTTTAAGCAAACATTAAACATAATATAACTCAAAAGAATGAAAACTTCATGGATTAATATCAAATGAATCAATGCGTAATATCAAACTCGTATTATAATCAATCCCAACAAATAAGGAACTTAGCTGTTAATGTTCACAAAAGTAAGTAAGATAGAAATAAAATATAACTCATGGAGTGATAGAACCATAAACAATAATTGAGTATAAATTAACTCCACTAATACTTACACATTGTTCCCATGACTCAAATGGGTCAAACTACCCTAAAAATTTAAAGAAAATGAGTACAAAGTGTTCCTATTCGAATATATCTTTTACAAACCAAGTTAAACCCCTTTAATAATGTCTGAATTATGGTTCCCACACTCAGCTAGGGGTGGCAAAACGGGCTAGCCCGACCCTGCCCAACCCCCATTTAGCCCGCCAAAATATGGGTTGGGCTGACTTGACCCTTATTGCTAAAATGACTCAAAATGACAATCCGACCCATATTTGACAGAGCTGACAGGTCGGCGGGCTGACCCATTTTTTTTATTTTTAAAAACACATTTATAATCAACTCAATTATAATTTCAAAAATAAATAATCACAACGCCTCATAAATTTATTTTAAAACAAAAGATCACATCAAAGTCCACAATCTCACAATAATATATCATTTTGGTTTAAAAATTGCAAGTTCTAAACAACTAGTCAACATAGTCTTAAACTTTTAGACTCATATTTCACAATAAAGCTTCAAACTCCTAAGTTTTAAACATTATATACTCTGTTGGAAATGTAAGTCTCCATTTTTCTATGCAAAAAAAATTATTTTGAGAAAACTTGCATATGAGTACTAACCAATTTAAAAAGTAAAATATACGCATAAGTAAATGTCTTATATATAAGATAAATTACTCATAAATTACTTTTCAATTGTAATATTACATAGTAGTATAACTAATTTTATATTAGTATTACTAACCAATTTAGTATAAAGTATGGAACATTTGCAAAAGTTTATTAATAGTATAAAGAGTAAATTACACTGATATTACATGAGTTTTAGTGAAATTACACAAATTATCCTTCCATTTTCTACACTTACAAAAAAACCCTTAATTTGTTTGGGTCTCACATATTATTTTATAACTAGCAAGATACTCGTGCATTTGCACGGGTCGGTATTTTATGTTGTATGATTAAGAACACATATTACATATGTATTCATATGATTATTAAGAACACACACGCTATTTGTGCATTTGAATGGTTAAAACACACATGTTACATGTGCATTCGTAAACACATGTTATCCATACACTTTTGTAATTTTTTGATTGATTTGCATACTCTATAATCTATATATTTGGTTAATTAATAAATATAATAAGAACTTATATTGTTCATTCTTAATATAGACGTACATATAGAAAACTTATATATTTATTAATGTAACTTGTTGATATTTTCTTTTATTTCCACAATATTATTTCTTATTAGTTGTTAGTATAATTGGTTTATTATTTCATTTTTTTTAAAGTATACAAAATGGGACATTGTAATTAATTACTTAGATTTTTTTTCAAAATAAATACGGGTTTAATCATTTAGTATGACAACTTCGAAAATAATATTTTAATAGATATAGATGAAATTTAGTAATAAATGACCATTGAAATAAGAAAGTTGTAATTATATAGTTTGATTCTTTTTAAAAATAATGGAGGTCATAATTATTTAGGATCAAAACTGCTAAAATATTTTAAATATAGTAATAGAAATGTCTGAATAATATTAATAATTGGAAATGAGAACTTTTATGAAATTAAAGGAGACGTACTAATTTTCATGTAATGATTACTATACATTAATTTTCAGCTTGAATAGTATCATCAATCTCACCAATAAGCACCACATTAAATGACAATATATGTTTCTATTCCCTTAGATTCATTAGTTTTATTTCTTTCATAACGACCGACGATATTTATTCAAAGTAATTATTAATTACTAGTTTGCAGATGATCAGCAATATTTATTCACTTGTTCGATTACAAATTAAAACAATATAACAAAATTTATTGTCATTATTCACCAATGCAATTTCTACTCGTTATGAATTTTCCTTTCTTATCATTCTACTATGTATTTTTTATATGAATTTTTATCTTTCATTATTCACATTAATTACTCATAAATTCGAGAGTAATTTTCTTCAACAGTTATTATTCCATAATTATTCACAATTTATATAAATAACAATTTTAGTACTTGAAAAGTTTATGCGGATGTAAAAATAAAAGAAATCAAAATGTTAGAATTTATGACATTTTATTATATTTAATTAACAATTAATAAAATTAACCTATGTGACATGGAAAATTGTCCATTGAAAATTCAAACATTAGTGCTTTTGATGTATTATTAACTTAACTTTTGAGAGAGTATTACAAATATGGTGCCATTTTTTAATAAATATATATCATAAGTAATGGTTAATAAATTTAATGAAAGTATAAGATGAAGAAAAATTGTACTTATATTATATTTTAATTAGATAACAAGAAAGTTTTGTTTTTATAATAACATGGACTCAAAGATAAAATAATATGATTAGGTTAACTTACCTGAAAAGTTGTGTGGAAATTGTGACATTGTCATTATTATTAGTTATGATTGATTGATTTGAGGAGAGATAAATAAAAAAGATAAACATTAAGTTATTATACATTATCATTGCGATTTTTTTCCTCAAACATCATTATTCTCACTTATTATGTTTCTCCATGTGATTTTAAACTCTATCAATTGAGACATTGAAATTTGTATCAACTATTTAATATTATCATTCTGTAATTCTTCAAAAAGAAGTACAATCAAAATACAACAAATAATTAAAATATTAATGACACAGTCTGGATGAAGCAATATTATTTAAACAAAATATTCAAAAAAAGTACAATAATAATTAGAATAATTACAATTTCTTTAAACAATATTATTTTAAATAAAGTATTCAAAAAAAAAATAAGAACACGGTCCGGATGAAGCAGAACAATATAAACGACAAAATGGTGATAATATGATTATGAATTTTAATATGTGAAAAATAAATTTAAA